TTTTTCCTTTGCATTTTGCTGGTTTGCACGGTTTTCCTCGTAAGTATATAGATTATCCGGATGTTTATTCTGTGTGAAATGTTATATCTTCGTATGGTTCAATAGTAAGTGTTTTTGCTTTGTTTTTGTTTTTGTATGTGTTGTTAGAATCTTTTTTTAGTTATCGCTTAGTGTTGGTTGATAATTTTGTAAATAGCAGACCTGAGTATAGTTATAGCAGTTATGTTTTTGGTCACAGTTATCAGAGTGATATTTATTTTAGAAGTGCTGTGTTAAAAAATTAAACTCTTTTATTATAATTAGTATATTTAATTGCAAATTAAAAAGTTTTAAGAGTTTTTTATTATTGTAAAATATGTATTTTATGATTATATTTTTAGGTTTTAGTTGTTTTATAAATTTTGTTGTTTAAAAAATATTAATTTTGTCAAACTAAGTGTTTAAAAAATTTTAAATAATAAGATAGGATAAATAAGTCTGCTAGGTTCATACCCTAGGGGTGGAAGCTCTTGTTAAAGTAATTAATTTTGTTAAAATTTGTTAAAATTGTAGTATAATTTTAGTATAATTCATTGTCATTGAATAGGTTACAGTTTTATTATAATTATTAGTATTAAGTTTAATTGTTTTTAGTTCTTTAGTATAATGAGTATATTTGACTTCCAATCAAGTGGTTAAGGAATTAATTGGTAATTATTTTCAAGGTTATAATTTAAATTTTTCAAACAGAATGTTTGCTAGTTACATGGACTGGTTTCATAGATTTAATTGTAGTTTGTTGCTTGGTGTTTTAATTTTTGTTGTTGTTCTTTTTAGTTATTTAATTGTCAATACTTTATATTTTAAAAGAAAAAAAATTGAGTATCAATTTGGTGAGTTGTTGTGTAGGATTTTTCCTACTTTAATTTTGTTAATGCAAATAGTCCCTTCCTCTTAGTTTGTTATATTATTACGGGCTAATAAATTTAGATAGAAATTTAACGGTAAAGGTAACAGGTCATCAATGATATTGAAGTTATGAATTTAGAGATATCCCTGGACTTGAGTTTGATTCCTATATAAAGTCGTTGGATCAATTAAATTTAGGTGAACCGCGTTTATTGGAGGTTGATAACCGTTGTGTTGTTCCCTGTGATACTAATATTCGTTTTTGTATTACTTCGGCAGATGTTATTCATTCCTGGGCTTTGCCTTCGTTGTCGGTTAAGTTAGATGCTATAAGGGGTATTTTAAGAACTTTATGTTATAGATTTCCTGTAATTGGGGTTTTTTATGGTCAATGTTCGGAAATTTGTGGTGCAAATCACAGGTTTATACCAATTGCTGTGGAAGTTACGTTAATAGATAATTTTAAAAGTTGGTGTTATTTAAATATTAGTTAGCTATTTAGTTTATGTAATAAAACG